TGTCTTAATGATGAAGGTATAATCGAAAAGTTAAAAAGAAAGAAAAAGGGGGACGTACAGCCAATCTCAGTTCAATTCTGAGGATTTTAGCTATGTTGTCCCTGGGACTGGTCTAAATACAGGTAGTCCTCGATTTAATGGCTCATTTAGTGACCATTCAAAGTTACAACGGCACAGAAAAAAGAGACTTACGACCGTTTTTCACATAACCGTTGCAGCATACCCGTGGTCACATGATCAAAATTCAGACAACTGGCAACAGGCATGTACTTATGACGGTTGCAGTATCCTGGGGTCATGTGATTCCCTTTTTGTGACCTTCCTACAAAGCCAGATTCACTTAACAACTAGTGATTCATTTAATGACTTGACTGTGGCACAATTGGCTGCGGCTGTCTTGATTAGGAACAGAAATTTTGGGTCCCTCTGTGGTCGCAAAGTTGCGGACTACCTGTTTCGGAATTGCTCGGCAAAGGAACACCCTCCCCCCCCCACCCCCCTTCTTTCCCCTCTGCGCTTCCCGGCTTACCTTGTAAACCGAACTTTGCAAATGTTACACTCGTATGGCTTCTCGCCGGTGTGGGTTCGAATATGGCGTGGGAGCTTGCCGGCTCCTTGGATCACTTTCTCGCAGATGGGACATTTCTGGAATGCTTTTGCGCGGATTTTCTTCTCCACCTTCTGAGACCAGGACGGATATTCGCCGCCCTCCTGGGAAGTGCTAAAATAATTCAAGTAATAATCCATGACTCCGTCGTCGTCCTTGCGGTCCTCGTCGGCCAGCTGTTGCCGTCCCACCGAATTGATCATCTGCTGCAGGAGCGCGCTGGCGGCCAAGCCGTCCACTTCTCGGGGGTCGTCGTCTCGCTCGGGTCCTCCGGAAGCAAATGCCGGAGAATCTCCCACCTCCGGCTGGTCCAACTGAATGCCTGCTGGTACGTCATCCTCCCCCAAGGACACCGGCAGGCCACGCCCACCAAATTGTCCATTTTGAGAGGCGGGGAACAAGGGTCCCTGGCCCGTCACCTCGTCGTCGTCCCACATGCCATGCTTGGCCTCGGGATCACAGTCGTTTGCCTTTGGTCTGTCACTGAGAGCGGCCTGCGAGTAGAGGTCCATGCCGTTGCAATCCGGCTCTTCGTCCTCCTCTCGGCCACGGAAGGTGAGCCTCTGAAGGTCTCTCAAGTCTTGATTGGTCCATGAAAAGTTGCCCTGTTGGCCGTTGATGGGATTACTCTGGAAAAACTCCAGGTATTCTTTTGCTCGGAGATGGTTCCTTTGATCAATTTGATCTACTTTATCCATCTGGTCCGTTTTGGCCAGAATCTTCCGGTCCAGGAGATCCGTGCAGACGTCCCTCACCGCCTCGATCTCTAGCAGCTTGGCAGCGTTGAGGATCTCGCCGACGTTCGAAGTGCTGACGGTCAAAGTGGCGGTGTAGGCGAATTCCAGCAAGGCAGAGAGGGCGTCGGCATCCACAAAGTCGATCTCGTACACGTTCTGTTGGTCGACCACCAACCCTGAGGTGAAGAGCTTCTTGAAGTATTGGCTGCAGGCTGCCAAGACTGAGCGATGGGTGGGGAACTCCTGCCCGTCCACCAGGATCACCACGTCGCAAAGCAGTCCATTGTTCCTCTGCTCGTTCAGGCTGCTCAAGATGTCGCTGCTGTGGTCGGGAAAGGGGATCCCAATGGGGCCATCCACACCGCCCTCCATGCTGGCACCAGAGGGCTGTGAAGACAGAGGCAAGACGCACAGGGTCAGTCAAGACACAGCAACTTTCCCTAACTCTCAATTTTGTACAGCTACAAACAATTATTCCCCCCATATATGAGAGTCACAGTTAGCGTCCCCAAAGTTGGCCACTTTAAGACTTGTGGGACTTCAACTCCCAGAATTCCTCAGCCAGTCAGTGCTGGCTAGAAGACTTTAGGACTTGTGGGACTTCAACTCCCAGAATTCCTTAGCCAGTCAGTGCTGGTTAGAAGACTTTAAGGCTTGCGGGACTTCAACTCCCAGAATTCCTCAGCCAGTCAGTGCTGGTTAGAAGACTTTAAGGCTTGTGGACTTCAACTCCCAGAATTCCTCAGCCAGTCAATGCTGCTAGAGGATTTGTGGACTTCAACTCCCAGAATTCCTCAGCCAGTCAGTGCTGCCTAGAGGACTTTAGGGCTTATGGACTTCAACTCCCAGAATTCCTCAGCCAGTCAATGCTGCCTAGATGATTTGTGGACTTCAACTCCCAGAATTCCTCAGCCAGCTCTACTGGCTAGGGTATTCTGGGAGTTGAAGTCCACAAGTCTTAAAGTGGCAAAGTTTGGAGACACCCACCCCCGCACCCCACACCCCCCGGATTAAAGAAATAACCAGATCTTTCAATCTTTAATAGGCGATGGGGAAATGCTGCTTTGGGGCTTCTGCAAAATGGCTGCCGTGGTCTCTGTGGCCAAATTATGTGGTATTGCTGAGAACCATTTTCTTTGTATTTTTAGCATAACTGGTAGAAGAGAATATTTATACAATAATACAATAGCAGAGTTGGAAGGGACCTTGGAGGTCTTCTAGTCCAACCCCCTGCCTAGGCAGGAAACCCCTTTACCGTTCCAGACAAATTTGAAGGTCAAGGTTGAACTGTGGGGGGTCCCTGGTGCTCTCTGAGCTTGGTGGCTTTCTTGTAGACATTTCATGACCCAACTAGGTAACGTCATCAGTGCTAGAAGGCAGTGAGGTTTGTTATACTGTTTATATATACTAGCCATTTAATGGCCTAATCAAGGAACCATCAAGAACACTCCCACCAACACTGACAGGGCCAGCCAATGGTATATAAAACCAGAGTAAACCTCACACTCTTCTATCACTGATGATGTTACCTAGTTGGGCCACGAAACGTCTGCAAGGAAACAACCAAGCTGAGAAAGCATCTCTTTCTTCCTCCTCTCCACAAACCCCACTCCCTCCTAGCACTGATGATGTTACCTAGTTGGGTCATGAAATGCCTGCAAGAAGACAACCCAGTTTAGAGAGCACGAAGTATTCTTCCTCCTCTTTCTCTTCTCCACAAATCCCATCCCCTCCGTTCCTGATGATGTTACCTAGTTGGGTAACAAAAATGGTACCCAAAACTGAAACAACCGAGCTCAGAGATCACCAAGACTCCACTTCCTTCCTTCCGTCCTCCTCCTCCTCCTATCAACCAATCCCACCCCTTCTAGCACTGATGAAGTTACCTAGCTGGGTCATGAGACGTCTGCCAAGAAATTCACCACACTCTGAGAGCACCAAGGACCCTCGCAGTGTGTAAACTTTATTATAACCACTCCCTCCCGTACGGTTTGGGTAGCTGACAAATACAATAAGAAAACCCACACAACCTATCGGAGTTAAACCACAACAAATTAAGATGAACTGAAACAGGGAGGGCTAACCTTTATCTCCACACGTGCCAAAGCCAGCGCATGCACATGTGCCTGCAACCATAATGCAATGCCGCCTGCCCCCCTGCACATGCGCACATGATCCCCGCGTTCTCCCCCCCTACTCCCCCCATGCATGCACGCGACCCGGTGCCTCATTTTGGGCCTACAGGCCTCCCTGAAGCCTCCTAGGACCAAAACCAACATCTGGGAGGAGGGCGTCGCCCCCACGCATGTGCATGTCCCCCCCCCCATGGATGTGCACGCATCTCCCGCAAGTGCGGCAGAGACGCGGAAATCGGCTGGCCAGTAGGAGGGGCATAAACATGCACGGTGGCGCTCAGCTTGGCCAACGGCTGGCGTGCCCACAGAGAGAGCTCCGTGTGCCACAGGTTTGCCATCAAGGAAATAAAACATTAAAACTAGAATAAATCCGTGGGGGCCTCGTAAGCACATCATTCCCAGGTCTGAAACCGTTTCAACAACTTCCAAGAGATGGGACTGTCCTTATCTCTAGGGGGCGCTGTGTCCAGGCTGGGGGTCACCACAGAGAAGGCCTGGTTCCCAAAAGAGGTTCCTCAACGGTCGTTAAGTGTGAAAACCAGTGAGATTAGCAAAAAAATCTCAGCAAATGCCTCCTCCAAATGTTGGAAATGCGAATCAATAGACAGAACATATGACCCCTTACGGTGGACGGGTGAGGAGGCTGAAAAGTATTGGAAAAGGATTAAAAATTGGCTAGAGTCAATAACGGGAGTCAAAATAGATTGGACGTTTTTCTACTAGGCATAATGACTGCGAAATATAAAAAAAAGAAATCCAGTATTTAATTTTACACATGCTGTAATTATGGCGGCGAGGCTTGCCTTCGCTCAGAAATGGGAAAATAAAAATAAATTAATACCAAGCGAAGATGAAATAATAAGAAAGGCGATGGACTATATGCCGAAATGTACAAATTAACAAAAGAAATCCAGGGAAAAGAAGAAACAGAATATTACCAGATATGGGATAAATGGTAGTTAGAGGAAACTACCAAGGACTGAACCAAGGATGAATGAATGAATGAATGAAAGAAAGAAAGAGAGAAAGAAAGAAGATAGATAAATAGATAGATAGATAGACAGACAGACAAACTGACAGACAAACAGACAGACAGACACACTCAAGAGCGTTTAAATTTACTAGCGGTAATCACCCAATATAGCAGATAGATGAATGAAATTAGAGGGTTAAAAATGGTAAAATGCAAATGAAATATACCAGATGGGGAAATAACATAAGGAGAATTTTATCGATTTGTAAATTGTTATTAGAAAGAACTGTATTGTGTAAATGTAGTGTACGTCTAGGTTTTTTTCGTGTGTGTGTTTTCTATGTTTGTAAATAAATAAAAATATATAAATAAATAAAAAGTGTGGAAAAAAGGGTCACAGACCCTTTTTCCCGCACCGTCATAAGTTCAAACGGTCACTAAACAAACCATTGCTAAATCCAGAACTCCCTCTATTTTATTCAGGGATCACAGGGATAAATCCCAACTTTTCAAGCTCCACAGTGTTTCTTCCTCGCATTTATTGCACAAACCACACCTGTTGTTGTGTGGCTAAACACCACCCTGGTGTATTAAAAGAGCAAGTTTCCCAACAGGAAAGGCCACCTCGCCGCTAATGTAGGAGCATCGATCGTCAAACTCTGATTAACCCAAACCACAGTTTATGGACGACAATCCACCCAGGATGCTGCAGAAACCACTACATAACCCACCAACCGGGCCAGCTGCTTGAAAAATGAGCCTCTCCCGTAATAATTACATTGTAAGCAATCAGGTTCGACATGTCATGCTGCTAGTCCTCATGTTCTTGTTCCTACGTTCCAAGAGCGAAATTGTTGCGATGACAGCCACCATCGGGGCGGTGTTTTCTGTTGCCGAGCAAGGCGGGTGATTAAAGTGAGTTCTGCTCCAATTTGGGGGTCCTCGTTTTGCGGCAGGTTTGTTAAGCCAACCACTGCCGCCGTTAACTGAATCACACGGTTGTCAGGAACACACGTTGCTTTAAGTGTCTGAATTTTGTTCATGGGACCCATGGGGACATAAGTGGGAGGACCAGTCGTAAGTCACTTTTTCTTTCCAGGGCCACTGTAACGTCGAGCCGTCACTAAATGAATCGCTGTAAGTCAAGGACTAGGCTCGAGGAAAGACGAATGGGAGATAATTAAGTAGTCCTCGACTTATGAGCCTTAAGCAAGACAGCGAAGTGAATTTTGCCCTCTGTTATGACCCTTCTTCCAGTCGTTAAGTGAATCGCTGCAGATATTAAGTTAGCCACTTGGTCGTTAAGTAAATCAGACTTCCCTCATTGACTTCCCTTGTCAGAAGGCCGCTAAAGTGGATGACTTGACCCGGAGATATTGCGACCGTCATAAATATACCCTAATTGCCAAGCTTCCAAATTTGGATCACGTGATGCTTCAATGCAGCCCGGCTGAGGAATTCTGGGAGTTGAAGTCCACGAGGGTTAAAAGCTGCCAAGTTTGGAAACCTTTGGGGAAGGAGAATGAGGATCCATGGATCATCTCAATCCTTTTCTAAGGGTCTCTTCGTATGGCTGGCCGGGATGCCTCTTGGCCACAGGCCCGGTCGTCATGCTGAGTGAGGAGACCGTGGGCAGTCCTCGACGTGCAACGTTTCAGGCCAAAATTCATGTCGTTAAGCAAGACAGTTGTTAAGGGAGTTTTTGGCCCATTGTGCGACCTTTCTTGTCCCAGCTGTTTAGTGAATCACTACAGCTGCTAAGTTAGTAACATGACTGTTAAAAGAATCTATTCTATTCTGTTCTATTCCATTCCTGTCAGCCTCTGCGCTTTGCTGCTGCTTCGGCTGCCATTGAAACGGGGAGGGGGGGGCATGGTATTTGGGAGGGGACTACTAATTGTGCTGGAGGAAGATTCTGGAGTTTCTGCTGCCTGTCTTATTGCGCCTGCGGAGGAGGTTTTTCGCCAAGGCCAACGGCACCGACATTCGGTGATGCCTTTCGAAGTTATCTCGCACCTGACACTTGGAAGAATTATGATTGGACTGTGACT